GGATTTATTGTATAGCCAATAGATCCTTAATAAATTGTTAAATAAAAATTGTTTATCTCTCGATAGTTTCCAGCCAGTTAATGCTGCAATAATGAATTATTCCGGGAAAGAAACTCGCATAAGCTCGATAGCTCGAAACAATACATATTATTTTCGAAACATCGCCAACAGTTCTCGCCGTCGTGGCACAATTTCTATTGAAAAATCTCCCTAAGCCGTCGATAGAGTTCCCAGTCACGCCCTGGCTTATTGCTCGCCAACAGAAACAGGTACACTCTCCACCAGAAGTCACAGAGTGGAAACCAAAACCGTTAGATTTATCGTTGTTGAAAAAAGTTACTCGTTAGTAAAAAGTTCCATGCGTTTGTGGACCTGCTGCGTTTAATTGCGCCGATTTCGGCAACGAGTTAACGATCCCTGGTCGAGCTCGTATTCACGAAACGTAATGTAGGTTACTCTGTAACAGCTTCTCGCGCCGATACACGGGAACAATGGAGCGTGGATCCGGGAAAGGTTAATGTATTCCAAATTATTTTTCGACCGGACCAAAAACTGTTCTCTCTCTAGCTCTTTCCGTCGTTGCTTTTGTGCCCTCGCTTCGTACTTCCGCCGACAGAAGTTAAACGAAATTCCCACGGGAGCACTGACAAAGACATGTAAATTAGTGTCCGACTCTGGGCGCGCAGTTTTCCAGCGCGCGCCTCTCCGCGCTGCGAATTGAAGAAACACGAATGTATGTCAACGGGAACATTTTCCGTGGTTTACTCGCACTTTTCTGAGCTAGCATCTCTGATCCTTGACCTAATTTCCATTGTTCTAACTACTACCACGTGCCATACGCCTCTGCGAGTCAGTCGAATTTCGTGCTGACAGCGAGCCTCCGGCTTAATCGCGTTTCAATTATTCGAATTTTCGTTTGTAAATGACGCGTCGCGTTTCGGAAAATAATATTCCTTATTAATCAACCGAATTATTATTTTCGAATAAATTATTTCCCATATTTTTAACATTATTTATCTTCGTCGAACGTAACGTTTCATCACGAGATTCCACGTGGCTGAATTATGTAAAATTTATTTGACGGACTCTCGAGGTCAGCATTTAAAAGACCGTTTCGTTCT